CTCGCGCACTGCAGGTCCAGCTGCACAAAGCCGTCAGCTCGGTCCCGCCGCGGCCAGGCGGTGCAGAGGCAGGAGCCGCCGTCGGGCAGCGAGATCTTCACCGCCGAGCCCAAGCGCGCGTCCAAGGCGCGGAGGGCGGCTGGGCCTAGGCGGCAGCGCTGGGTGCCCCGGTCTCTGGTGTCTAAGGGTAGCAGCTGTAAGAGCGGCCCTTCAGGGAAGGGAGCCGAGTCCCAAGCCATTTCACGCTGAGGATCCGAAGCCGAGGAAAGTCGGGCCGGCGTTCCACCCGGGCCCGAAAGGCCCGAACACCGTACTCCCTGGCCGGAAGCAGATTACGCGCATGCGTTAGAGAAGGCCCTGGGTTGCTAGCCGCGGATTGGAGGCGGAAAGGGCCAAACACGAAGTTACGCTCTATCCCCGGTGTTTCGTTTGTTGTGCTGGTGTCCGCTTGGATGAAACCGAGTCGCACATCCCAGATCTTTACGGAGATGGTCTTCGGTGCAGGTGTCTGGGAGGCAGGGTGACCTAACTTCTGTAGGTCACTAAGCATGTGGCTGAGTGTTTTAGGGCGTCACCGGCATTGCACTCTCTCTGGCCCACGGACTGGAGCAGCACGCACTGCCGCTTTTGGAATATCAGCCTAGAGATTTTGCTATCTTGAAAAGAAACTGACTACTCTCATGGGTAGAGTATTGGGTGCTCTGGTGCATATGTCATAAGTGACTTGGGATAGCTGAAAAAACAGTGTTGGCGCTTTAAATAACCGGGGTCCCAACCTGTTTGGAAGGTCCATGCACAGCCTTAATATAGAAAAGCACCAGCATTGCAAGAGAGAAGTACAGTGTGGCATTTAAAATGCCTTGGAAAGGGGAAGAAAAACCAGGTCATCTGATGTATTTGTGGGTTTTTTCTGAATCCCATTCAGTCCTTTGAATGTTCTTTGACAACAGCTTAAGGATACCTGATCACAACTTCTCTGTTCAAGCAATAAGTACTGTCTGGGGCACAGTCCTGCGTTAGAGGCGATACTTGTGTACATTATTAAGACTGCTTCCTGCTATTTTTCAACCTTTCTTCTCCACCGGGAATCACTCTTCCCTTGTCATCAGATGGACTACATTTCCTATCCTTTTTTAACTTTGCTCATCAAAAAGAACTGCAGATATTCAAAGTCAAGAAAATAAGCTTTGTTTTTATCCTACTCACATTTTTCCCACCTTTACTGCAACCCAAATCTATGAGGTGACAAAATTGAAGTTGCAGATAGAGTGCATAAGTCACTGAGAGTTTTTGTTTTTCTTCTATCTGTGCAAGTAATCAGTTGCAGACTATAGCAGACTTTTCATCTCATTGGAAAGTACTGTTGGATCTAGGGTCTTAAGATCAATGCCAATTCCTGGTCTCATTCTATCCAAACTTCAGGGCAGATTCTGACAGACTTATGGATTCCATAGTAACTTACCTGGTCTCTGCTGTACCTTTCTAGCTCCCAAGCTGGAACAACTTAAAAGGAATCAGAAAGTAGCAGCAGGAGGTCCTGAAATGGGTAGGTCACCCGTTAGTTCCTATTTTCTTCTTTCTCTTAATCCCACTGGCTTTTCTGTTCTCTTTGGTCTTAAGACTTCAGTAACAGTTTTGCATTTTCAGAAAAAAAAAACCAAACATTATATTTACTGACCCCTGAAGTTGTGAATGAAATGCCCATCAAATTATTCTGTCATGATGCCTGTTCTTCCACTTATGAAGATCACTTTTATTCCAGGTTCCAAGAAGCTTTGAGGATCTAGAAAAAGGAAAGAAGACTTAATAAGAACGTGTTAACTGTCGTAAATATTTAAGGGTCTGTCATGGAAAAGAGCTGGTAGATTTCTGTATGGCTACAGTGCAGAACTGACCTGGAGGTGAAAGTTTAATGGAATGAATGTAAGAGGCCCCCCCCCACAGTTTTTAGTATGGTCACGTGGAAGTGGCCAGAGACTTTTTATAAGGTAGAGCCAAGAGGCATAACCAAAGCCAATTGGTGTAAAACATAGGGAGGCAAATAAAATTCAGTCAAGCTTAGAGTTTTCTGCATTGGTTTAAAGCAACTGAGGTGGAGGCTGAGATTTTATGGATATGATATGGAAGAAACTACAAGTTGCTTTGGATTTGGCTAAAAGGTTGACTTTATGCAAGGCGTATTAATTTCCTAAAGCTGCCATCACAAATTAACTTCAAACTGGGTGGCTTAAAACAACATAAATGTATTCTCTCGCCGTTCTGGAGGCTAGAAGTCCAAAATTAAGGTGTCAGGGCCATGCTTTCTTCTAGGGAATAATCTGTTCCATGCCTCTCTCCTAGCTCCTAGTGGCTGCCAGAATTCCGAGGTGTTCCATAGCTTGTAGCTGCACCACTCCATCTCTGTCTCTATCATCACTTCTTTCCTGTGTGTCTTCTCCTGGCCTTCTTATAGGACACCAGGCATTGGACTTAAGGGCCACACTAATCCACTATGACCTCATATTAACTAGTTACATCTGCAAAGACCCTATTTCCAAATAAGGTCATATTCTGAGGTTCCAGGTAAACCTAAATATCTCTTTTTTGAGGACACAATTCAACCCACTACACAAAGTCAAACTAGAATTCTCTGACCTTGTAGAACCCATGTGCCCAGGAAATGTTCACTTCATACTCTGCCTGAAAGGTTCAGTCTTCCCCTTATGATGCAAGCAAAAGCAACCAGGAATCCTGTTTCTGGACCTTCAACCTTACCTACTCACTCGTAGCAGAACTATTACTCCGACTGGCCTTTCTAGTCAGCGAGCAGAATCTACTTTGTCTCTTTAAGTCAGACTATTTGCAACATTATTGTTTCAACCATTTTAACATCCACATTTAACGTAACAGTCTTCTCTTGTGGAAAACCAGTCTTAACGGGTTGTATGGTTCTTTTGTGCTTTGTGTGTTTTGTTTTTAATATGACCCAAAGTTTGGTAATTCTATGAACTGCAGAGTACCAATCAAAGCACCAAAAGGGTGAACACTAGAGGGAGTCCAGAACCAAAGAAGCCTGAAGACTACTGGACTGTTAGGTGTTTGAAGTGTTTCAACTGTGACTTCCACTAGATTTTCCCCAAATTCACACCCAGATGTATGAACTGGTTGTGTTGTCTCTACAAAGTAACTTACTTATTTTAACATAATTCCTACATACATCAGGCCATACAGAACTCAGTTTCCAAGTTAAAAATTTTTGTTGCCATATTAATATCAAAGCGATACTTTCCTCAAACCCAAAATTTAGTAGTGGATCAAAGTCCAAATAAACCAAATTTATTTTGTTATAGCCTAGAAACCATTCCAGCTTTGAACTATTTCAAATAGCCATTCCTTTGTGAGATTTTCCTGAAGGAATATATTTCACAAATAGTTTTTTTCTTAATTTCAGTTGCTACCTTCAAGGTTACAATCTGCCTAAGATTAACTCTTAAAAATTCTTAGTTAGCAATATGTCTGGAATTCAAAATAATTGGAACCTGCTCCTGTTGTAGAATAACTATTATACAATATTTTGGTGTCTTCAGCATCAATAATATATACTAAATATTATAT